ATCAGTGCTGAAAACAGTTGTGCTGCTTCAAATTTTTAGTGGAAATTGTGATACATTTTCAGGATTATTTGATGAATAGAAAGTTCAAAAGAACATCATTTATTTGAAATGGAAATTAGCCCATAAATTACTCACCCTCAAGTCATCCTAGGTGTATATGACTTTCTTCTTTCAGACGAACAGCTTCCGTGTACAACTGTTGGCACAAGCTACATTAAAGTGATTATTACGTTTTGAATATGGATATTTTTCTTACAAAAACGCATCGATTCGCTACAGGAGGCCTTTGTTCACCCCCCGGAGCCGTGTGTGAGACTTTTTATTAAGGATGGGTGCTTTTTATTTAACTTCTTTTGGACTGATGCATGACAATGATTTGGAATTATTTCTGTGACACTGAAGACTGGAGTAATGCCTGCTGAAAATTCAGCTTTGCCATCACTGGAATAAGTTACATTTTAAAAATATATATTACGTAGATATTAACATAGAAAACCATTTTAAATTGTAATAATTTCACAATTTTACTGTATTGCTGTTTTACTGTATTATCTAATAAATGCAGCCTTGGTGAGCAAAAGAGACTTTAATCAGGAACATTAAAAATTTTTTAAATATTCCAAACTGTTGACCAGTTGTGTATTTGAAATTACAGTATGCATGTATCACACTCCTTCCTCGTCTCTTAATCTGCAGTAGATTTTTTTAAAGAGTTATATTTGGTAAGTTTGATTCATTTCCTTGAACCAATTGAAAACAATTAATTTGTGTTTACGAACGAATAGTTTAAAATGGTTTACGAACAATTCAGAGTGTGTGTGTGTGTGTTCTCTCCATGCAGTCGTTTCGGTTCCCTGATGGAGGTTTACTTGGTTACGGGCCGGAATGTGGGATACATAAAGTATGCAGACCGGAAACCTGCTTACAATGCCATAGCACTGCTGCATGGAAAAGTGATTAACGGCATCAAGATGAAGGTCATGCTGGCAGACCCACCGAAAGAGGAATCTCACAAACGCCAGAGAACTTACTGACCTTTGACCTTACCACAGACACAGGTAAGTCAGCTCAGTAGGTAAGACAGACTAACTCTTCACATATTTATGAATCCACCACAACATTCTGTTATTTCTGCAACAAATAAAGTCAATCCAGAAACGGGATGAAAATTATGACCGATTTTGTTATACTCCATATAATGTTGTCGTTGAGAGTGAATTTGCTCCAGAATAAGTTAATGACTTGAGACATGATGTACCTTTGACAGCTAAACCGCCCGCTTATATACTACCTGGAGAAACAATCCTACTTATAAATGTTTTAACATCTTCATCTCTTTTGGACTAATTACATGAAAGGATTTGTTTGTCTTTCTATACCAGTCAGACAACATGTCATTCAAAGCATTCAGTGCTTTGAACATCATAATCTGTCCTCTACCATTGATGTGAGATCATAAAATGATTGTGTGGCATTTGAAATCAGTTTTATGTCAGTGTGTAATTTCACTGGCACTAGTGGCAGAAAATGGAATTACACTTGTTCTTTCAGCAGCCTGACAGATTTTTAAAAACATTTATGACAGAAATCTCTTATGTTCAGCAAAGGCTACACTTATTTAATCAATAATACGGTAAAAAAAAAAACATTATTAGTGAGAATTATCATAACCATTTAAAGTAACTGTGTTCTATTTTAATGTTCTAAAGTGTTATTTATTCCTGTGATGCAAAGCTGAACTTTCAGCAGCCGTTAATCCAGTCTTCAGTGATCCTTCAGAAACTATGTAGTCACTTTTCCTCCTTTGCTTTAGTGCAACAAAATGAAGAGTACAGGATGCTCATTAGGAGTGTAATTGATGCTTTATTTGTGTATTTTATCATTCATGTGCTGCCACAGAGACTTACAGGATGTTTGTTTGTAGCCATCATCCCATAAACTGGCTAAATGAATAGTGTTAAAGATGTACAAACTAAATTGCAAAATCAACACTCACAATTAAAACATAATTATGATCAACAGCAATAGGCTTTTGCCATGATTCTTTAAAAATAAATCACAGTAACTCTGACATGACTCGAAGGGAGTAAATGCACTGAAAAACTTTCGAAGTTAAAGGGGTCATATGATGCTTTTTTAAAGATCATTATTTTGTGTATTTGGTGTAACAGAATATGTTGGCATGCTTTAAACGACCCATCATTCAAAATAATTTTCAGCAGTTCCTCAAGATTTTGGACTTGTATAACAGTGACTATGCTGTGTTTGTTCTTACAGAGGTTTAGATGACATGACGCATGACCCCGACATGACAGGACTAGACCTCATAACGACGGACACTGACTGCCGTACTGCCGTTTCAGTTCTTTAATAACAAAGAAAGTGTTTTTACTTTCTCTCTTTTTTCTTGTCTGCTGTTAGCCAACTGCCAGCAATTGAGGCACCTTAAGCACTCACTATTTTCAACGTATTTAATTTTATTGACAAATTGTATGGACTTCTTTTGTGTTCCACATTGTCATACAGGTTTGACAAAAGGTTGAGTAAATGATGACAGAATCGTTTCATGTTTGAGTGAACTATCCCATTTAACAGAGGTGACAGACAAAGCTTCAGAAGAGTTTGAGTTCATGCATGGCCTCTGTATGTATCTGATGTGTATGCAAATAAAAAAGAGTTTGACAAGTGAAGCTGTTTTAAATGGCCTGTTTATTTCTTATTGATGGTTAATTGCTGGTGCTCTGTCAACGTTTGAACTGAGAGAATGGTGCAATATCTTATACGGGCCATGAAGTAACAGATCTGCATGAGTAAAAGTACAGGGCTCGTAAGTCAACCTGTTTTATTTCATAATGTGATTCATGTCAGTGGGAAATGCGACGTTCACACAGCGAGGGGATAAATGTGACTTTAAAGTCATTGCAGCAGCATTGCATCTTAATTTTGTAAATGCAGTGTGATGCAGTGCTCTTCTCTGTCCAGCAGGTAGAGGCATTCTGATGGTTTGATTTGAAAGCTTCAGTAATTAGCTGTCGGGTCATTTTAAAAACAAAAATCAGATCAAATGTGCTGTATTGTCTTGTATTGTTATTACTATTTTGCATTAAAATTTAATAATGACATTGGATTAGAAATCACTCAAAGTTATTAATAAAATTAGATTAGATACTATGCATATATCAAACAACTTTGGCTATTCAGAGTAGCTTATTACAGTACCATATTACTCGTAATGTTTTCACAGACTGCAGTATGAATCTCTGCATTCTCTGAAGACCTCATTGATGTAATTCATTTGCCAAGATGAACAGTGCACAAGAGAGCTCACTTGCTTTATACAGTAACCACAGTGCAATTCATTTGAGTTTCCATTTATTGACTTTTTGGCTGGACTGCTGAAAATGAAAACGAAAATGAAAAATTGGACACAAAAATAAAACATGGTATTTATTTCTGAAACTATAGCCACGGGGTCATGTGACCACAATGCACACTGAATATTGCATCCTGTTGAAAATATCTTGCTATTTTTTAAAAATGTCACATGGTACATTATGTACAGTATGCACATATGCAGGAAAATAACATTCAGTTCAAGATAGCCACAGATATTTATTTTAATCATTTATCAGGGTTCAAATGTGCAATTTCAGGTTCAGGTCTTATTAGACTTTTATAATACTTTAATTAGTTTTTTTACGCAATGTAATCCATTTAATAAGCTTTGTTAACTTATTAAAAGATTTTTAAGATCATTATTGTTAAAGGCACAATATGTAATTTTCGCCGCTAGAGGGCGCGTATTCAAAATAAACAAATAGACAAAGGCGTAGTTTGATGACGCTGCGAGTGAATGTGGAATCATGGGAGTTGTGGTCTTCATCCCCACAGCCGATGCAATCCGATGGGACTCGGGCAGAAATCATGTTCATGGATGAGCGAATGATTTATTAACATAGTAGAATGAAGCAGGGTGAGGCTGAAAGCCGTCGAAGCAAGTCAGCAAAATATATAACACTGTTCTAGTGGTTTCTGGATATTTTAATTAAAAAATCGTACATATTGTGCCTTTAATAACTCATTAAAGTTCAAATAAGTTTTTATACTTTTTTGATAAAAAGTGACTATTGGAACGTATGTGACCTGTGCACAGGACATGCTGATAGGATGCCCCAGTCAGCAAATTTCCTTTGGCCCGGATCTGGCCCAAATCTACAGCTAAAGTGTGGCCCAGATTAGTATGTGTTCGCCGGCCCAAAATTGGCCCATATGTTTTTAGCCAGAACTGAACCAAACCAGTGCCATAACTCTGCCTATCATGAGCCAAGTAATACATTTTTATGTGGCCCATATATGGGCCTTGTATTTCATTTTAGTGATGAATATTTTCAATAAAATGACTTTAAAATAACAAAATATCACTTACCTGAAGCAACTGTGTGACGGAAAATCCATGAAAGAAGAAGATTGCCGCCTTTCGGTCAAATAGGCGCGGTAGTCGTAGCAACGAGGTGTGGCCTGCCGGACATCTGCCAAACTTGATGCGTTTTCCAAGTGTAATCCAAATGTTAGCCAGAAGTCGATGTTTACCAATGTCAGCCATAGCTAAACCTTACTTGGTTCTTATGTGTTTTTTGTTATCTGGACCATATACCTCAAAAGGAGCTGTGAACCAAGCAAACATTTCCCGCAAATTCTAAACATATGGCAAAACATATATGGTAACAATCTGGCCCATATCTGTTCAGCCATGCCATATCTAAGCCATATATGCCAGCTATCGGCCACATTTGGCCCAAAGGTTCTTGCTATCTGGATGTTTGATAATTCGGTTTGCAGTCCTTTGTGAAGAGATTCAGAATGGCAGATAAATAGGAGTAAAATAAGGTCTGAGGTTTGCATGTCTGATTGTGTTGTAGAACAAACCCATAAAGTTCTAAGGATTACGTTCTTAAAATGTTCCAGACGGAATCCATCGCGGAGTCCAGGCTCCTGGTTTTGCGTCTCACCAGCGTCCAGTGTTTCGGGATGAGATCCGGTCCGGTCTTTACCGCAGACCTCAGTTCACCGTTACCGCAGCATCCGTATAAACTGCCTTCAAATCCAGTCGTACACAGCACTTTTCACTCACTTTCTTCACCTAACCGTGACATTCTCCTCCAATTTATCTGTGATTTACCTGCGGGGACCGAGCGGGATGAAAAACCTTTAACCGCGACTAACGTTACAGCTCCGCTTATTCTCAGCATCGGGTTTCTTCTGCGCCAAGAAATGATGTGGACACCGAACCGCTGGTACGTACTGCTTCCGTTGCGTGGTTTTTATTCGTTTTCACCCACCGACGGCTAATTTCCGTCATTACCGAGAGGTCCGGTGTCCTATAGATATCGATAAGCTGATTATAATGGATGAACGGCAGCCACGCATCTTCGCAGATGGGAAAGTCTCCTCTAGAGTTAGTTATTCCTCCGCTTATTACTGTATGCCACTCATACATGCGAAGACTGTAGGTATTGTGATTTATTTTGGGTCTCGTATGCTGTGTTTCCTCAGACCGTTGCGGAGAGCCGGACCCCATAGGATCCCATTGATCCGGGCGAAACTCAAAACCCTTGTTTATCTGATCGTGCTGTACCGAAATGCTGTTATGCTGCGCGTAATAAACACCTGTCTGCTTGAGTTTTAATGCTCCAGGCTTTAGTAGAGGAGAACATCAGGCTGGTAACGTTAATACCTGATTAGGTGAGGATCTAGGAGGAAACTGGACCCTGCTGCCCACGACCGGGTGACTTTTTAGGGATCAAAAACCCAAGGTTAGGCGGTGACATTGCGGTGTGTCTTACAGGGACACTAGTATTTCCTTAAATTAAGTTGCTGTGATAAAACTGACGTTTTGAGCAGTTGCTAAGTTAATTCTAAGGTGGCTAGTTTGACTTTATAGTCAGTGGGGTTTGGTGAGTCCTCTAGTTTAACTCTCTGTGATCCACAGTACAGCGGCAGCATCAAAAACTCAACACATCTGCTCTTTTGATAGAGCCTGTGTGTGTTTATTTGGTAATTAGCACTTTTATCCTGATATTTAAACTGTAATCGTATACCTAACCTCATGGCTTTCCAAACCAGGATGTTTCTTCTGTGGAACACAAAAGGAGACATTTAGTAGAATGTCCAGGCTGCTCTGTATAATGAGAGTAAAAGGGGGCTGTCAGGCTCCACAAATATCATAAAAGCACAAATAAAAATGGCCCATATGATTGTATGGTCATGCACAGCTTCAATGATGGGAACACAATTAACGACAAACATTATTTTCAGGCTTCGCTTTCTTATTATATTTTACATGCAGTGTCATTTTATTTTTTATATACTATTGTAGTACTAATATTTTGAATTAGCTCTTATTTTTATATATATATTTTGTATTTTTATGTGCTTTTATTTTTTTATTAGTTGTTTTAATATTTCTATTTAGCTTATATTTTATTTCAGTTACCGATTTAATTTTTTTAATATAATATTAAATGTTTTTATGTTAGTTAACAATAACAGCACTGTTTCAGCCTCATCTCGGTTTGATGGCAAGGCAGTGGTGTACAACTGTGTGTGGTCAGGTTGCATTGCGAGTTGTTATAATATTGTTAGTTAAGAATTTTAACTCTGTCATTTGCATTTTGCAAGTCTTTTATTTCTTAAGTGCATTATGTTATTATAATTATATAATTAAGGCTCATTTTGGACATGTGTGTATGTAGGTGGACCTCACAGCTAGTCATTCAAAAATATTTTCTTCTGTGTTCCATAGTATTTTAAATGACCTCTTATTAGTTTTAGTATTTTTATATGCTTTTTTAATGTCTTTTTATTTTTAATTCATTTGTACTTAAGTTTTAGTTGTAGTAATTTTAGTACTTCAAATTAAACTTTTAATTGAAGTTAGTACAAGCGGTCACATTTAGCATTTGTCTGCAATTTTCCATGGGTGAAATTGAAAGTTGGTCACAGCAGTTCACTGGACTGTTTAACAGAAAGTTGCTTGGTTTGAAAGGTACTGCTGTGCGACCTGCGCTTCTTACATGTCTGTTGACAACGGACAGCGGACCTTTTTTGACTGTGAAATTTCACCAAAATTTCAGAATTTAAATATTTGGCTAATGTGACTGTGCATTCAGGCTTGAAAAAAAAAAATCATTTTTGGGTGAATTTTGCCTTCAATGCTTACAGTTGGGGTTTTCAACACACCCCTACACATAAGTATTAGCAATAATAATAGTGGTGGTTGTCTTAGCAAACAGCACTAATTAGTGTGCTGTGTTGGAGTTTCCCAGCATGTGTGTGTTTTTGAGCTGAGCAGCAGTGGTTTTTATAAGAGGGCTACTCTAGTACTCTGGCCGACCCACGCTCTATGGTGGGGTGTTCCACCTAAAAGAACAAAAGCTACATCCTGATCAATAAAAGCAATGAGTTTAATCGCCAGTGCGCTGTGTGCTTGTCTGAGTGTGTCTGTCATGTGCTGCCTCGCTCTAATCCAGAGTTTTCATAGAACCGCTTGATTCTTCCCGTATCTTGGCTGGTGTCTTTCACGGGACGTTATCCTGCTTTACAGAGGGCTGGACTGAGCCGGGTTCAGCAGGTTGATTAGTGTGTCCATCTGTTCGCTGTCAGCCTTTGTGTTTACTGGAGTTTTTACATGCTCTGCCAGTGAACTCCTCAGACAGGTTGAAGCAGTGCGATAAGAAAAGCTCTGTACTCTGTGCCCACTTGTTGTTTATTTGGAAAATATGGAAAGCAAAAAAGAAATGATTTGTTTCACAGCAAATGCTGTTTGTTACTGTCATTCTGAGCCAATCAAATTTTTAGTTCTTGAATTATTTGGGACAATATTGTTGCTACTATCAGACAGTACTGTCACACTGTAAAAGTTTTGCCAAAATTTTGCCGTTTGAGAGGCCCTGAAAAGATGCTTTTATTCTAGTATCCAGTGCTAGGGTTGCAAAGGGGTGGAAAATTTCCGGAAACTTTCCAAAAATCCCTGGAATATTACAAAAAAACCTGGAAAGTTTCCAGAATTTCTGGAATATTAAATATATAAAATCCGAAATTTACTGGAAATTTTCCACCTTTTTGCAACCCTAGCAGTGACAAAACTTTATTTCGTCTTTGTATCATAAAAGAAGATATTTTGAGAAATATGAAAGATGGATTTCATGATTATTTGCAGATCCATTGACCTCTATTATTAATAAGCCTACTAAGCTCAGAACCCAATGAACCTCATATAAAACATCATGAACTGAATTCATTGCTCAGAACATGGTTGTTTCGTTGTTCTGCGAATTGAGTCATTTCAATAGAAATCCACTTGATCTGGAATTTTCTTTGAGAGCTTGTTGCATTGACCAACAGAAAGCTGCTTGGTTTGAAAATGACTTTTTGTGTGAGATTTGCTTCATGCGTCACTACACTGTTGACAATAGACAATGGACCTCTTTTGGCCTGCAAAATTTGGTTGAAATTCTACTAATGTGACCACAACTTTAGTCAGAAGCTGCAGATTTGCTGTTGAGTGTCATAAAGTCTTCACTGCACTATCCTTCAGTAATAGCAATTAAAGGGGTCATCGGATGCTACATGCACTTTTACAAGCTGTTTGAACTGAAATGTGTGTTGGCAGTGTGTGTACACAACCACCTTAAAATGATAAAAATCCACCCAGTGTTTTTTTTTTTTACTCAAATCTCTCCTAAGCGATTGAGGTGTTCTGTTGTTGGATGTAATAATGAACATAACAGTCGTCATTTACTCCCGACATCTGATCGCAGTGGATTACGTTTGTTTTTGAAGGGAATGCGCCCCCGATCTGCCTAAATGCATCTATGTTCGCGCTAGTGTTGTCACGGTACCAAAATTGCAGTATTCGGTACCAATACCAGTGAAAATCCACGGTTCTCGGTACCAATTTCGGTACCAAAGCAAAACACAAAAACATGCTAATTAAAAAATTACTATACTTTCATTTAATCCAAACTGTGTACATATTTAATTTTAAAGGGCTTTTGAAACCCTAGAGTTATTCAGCGAAGAATAATAACTAAGTTAGCTTAAAAAAAAAAAAAAGCCCAGAACTGCTTTTCTGACTGATATGACACAAACAATGTTAACCATTTGTACATTCTCTAACACGCATATTTTAGATTCACAATTCATTAAAAGTTATAGGAGCATTAAATAGTTAATAAAGAAACTTCATTCTAATGCTCATTATATTAGCGTTAGCCACGGTTATGCTAATGATTAACTACTCTAATAACAGCATTCATTTCAATCCGACATTCAAATTAAAATATTGAATAATATTCATAACAGAAGCGGTGTTTCCCTCAGACTTGCACTCTATTTGTGGCGGCATATATATGCAAATTTATTTTCTGGCAGCAGGAGGCTCTTGTAGAGCGGGAGGGATAAAGGTTTCCCCGGTAACAGCTGTACACAAAGCAGCGCTCTGCTCACAAACATTACAGGCAAGATGAAATGAAAATGACATCCATAATTTTCTGAAGACAGTCGGTTTCCTTCAGAAATACAGTGAGGGAAATTCTACAGAACGGCTTGCTCTGAAAAGAGCTGTTTTTGACAGGGTAAAAAAGGTGTTTTTTTACACTACCATTGAGAAATTTTAACCAAACTATGTTACAGACTTTTCATTAAGACCCTAAAGAATCATATCAACTTGTGGAAAATGGGCATCCTATGACCCCTTTAAAAATAATTTTTGCAACACCTGCATTAGATTGTGACATTTTCTAAGCAGTATCTAAACTAACATTATTTCCTCACAGGGATTAGATGGGGTGAGTTTCTGAACACCTATCAGGCAACATTGACATGTTCTGTAAATGTGCATGTTTGTGTGTTCATATATTCATCTGTCAGATGAATCAGATTGTAGTCAAACTGTTTTGGAGTATGTTTTGTTCTCTTAAAGTTACAGTATGTTTAACTTGTATTTTGAATGATAAAGCAAATTCATGATATCAGGAATGCATTGTTTTTAATTTTAATCTAGTTTGGTTACCTTCTCCAGATGGCACCTCATACATCATCCATGGCATGTTGTCTAAGGCTAAGTTTAAGATTAGCACAGATATATTTTCACTCTGAATGAGCGCTTGAGAGTTTCGCTCTCCGTCAAGCGATCTGTGCTATTTTCCGATTCATCTCAATGGATGCGCAGCGCACCTGTATTTGACGTACCGTAAATTCTAGTGTGAAGGCGCACGACTCGTCATCGCTTTGC